TGTGAGAGCTCTCTCCTGATCTGCATGAATCAGCATCATGAAAGCATTGCGCTTGCATGACATATCCTGTTCTCCCTCCAGGAAGTTTGAAATCAGTTCAGGTGCATCAGGGATCAAGAAATCAAAATTCCTGCAATGGAAGGAATGCATCAACCAAACTATTACATCTAATTGTGAGATTTTTTTCTTTCTTTCATTCTTTTTTTTAAGGAACTATTTTTTCACATCCACACAAAATTCACTTATCTTTTATTCCCATTATAAACTTTAGTATCTCATTGTAATAATGTGCCTTCTCAAATGGCAAGCAATCAATACCTATCTTAAAAACACTCACTTGTAAATAGTGAAGATGGCGAGGACCGCATTCCTCCGCACATAGGAGTGACGATGTTCCAAGCAAGAGCGGATGGTTGGCATCAGTGGCTCGAGCAATTCTGGCTCCTTTAGCTTGCAAAGGAACCTCAGTGTGGAGCCTCGAATGAACTCATTCGGGTGTGATAAATCCTGTGATGGTAAAGGAAGCAATATAGAAAAAGAATAGGTTGAGAAAAAAACAAAATGGTACAAAAGATTGAAAACATGCAAATATTTCAATTAATTCCAGATGATCAACTACTATGTAATTCCCTCTTCAATTCAATGCTTTACCTTCCTGTAGGCATCGCAAACAAGAATCATCTCCTGCAGAAGTTTGCCATCAGGAGTGGTTTTGGGCACAATCTCCCAGAAGACGAGCAGCAGCTTCTTGATGGTGTGGTCTTCTAGGGGCATCACGAAGCGTATCACCGTCATCAGGATCCCCGGTAGACGTTCTCCATTGAGGATAAGCTGGATCACCTTCTTCAGGGCAGCCTGCTTACCGGGAATGTCTCCATTTTCTGTTGGTGTAAACATGAATATTTATTCACCCTAATCACTTTTAAGGGGGAGGAGTATGAGAAATTCTTTGTTAAAACTTTATAAGAGATGATGTCACTGATACAACATACTGTTTTTGTGTCTTACCAAGGTCCCGCTTCAGAGTCATTTCACATGGCTGCTCTGTGTCTGTGGGAGCCTGGATGAGGGTATAACATGGCTGCTCCAGAGTACCCATGTTGCTGGTATGGGTGAGCACTTCAGACCTGCAAGAATTAAAGAAGAAAAAAAATTGAAACTTTATGAAGCCATTATCTCATGCAGCTTAAGTTGTAAATTCATATATTTTGTATAAATTACAAAGATATAAGAAATTGAACAATGAAGAAAAGTGAAACACGTCATGAGTAATCATTAAACAAAACTGTCAAATCAGCCAGTAGAAGACAGCTCATGAGCAATAAATGGGTATGACAAATATATCTCAAAAAATAAGATATATGCATAATTAACCCCTTGCTGCCAGGTGACGGCGATACGCGTGTAAACAAATCGCTCGAAAGGTGGCGTGCGGCCAAACCAGCCGGCGGCGCGCCAAAGCGCGGCGAGCCAGTGATTCGGGCTGACGCCCCGTACTCCGGCGCTCAAAGTCGGCGCGCTGCCTTTGTTTGCCAGAGCGTAGAGTTTTATTTTCCTTTTGTACACCCGGCGTCATTGGGTTAATAATGCATGACATACATAGGGATTTGGAATAATTCTAATTGATATGAACATGTCCCTCAAAAACTAAAGTCCTATTACTTCAGTTAGAAAGGTTAGGGTGTGTCCCCTACTTCAACCCCCATTTCTACAAGTGTTCCCTTAGATTGAAGGAAGAAAGAAAGAAAAAGAAAGAATGGTGTAGTTTTGTTGACTTTTTTTTTTTTTTTTTTTTTTTTTTTTTTTTTTTTTTTTTGTTAAATTTCTTTTCTAGTTGTTTCTGAGAAATTGAGACATTTCAGAGATATGATGTTTCAACACTTCCAAAGGGACGCCATACCAAAGATAAGGGAAAATCTTTATAGATATACATATATACATGGCAGCAGCAATGAATGGACTTCACATTGTGATACAGAGTAAAGTGAAAAAGATGAAAAGCATGCTGTATTTGAAATAAAATAATACTAACTGGTCATGACATCACGGACCTATGACCTTAAAGGTAATACCACACACATTTTCTGCAAGGTTGGGTTGGGCTTGACTGTGGAAGCTAGGTAAGGACATGGGCTTTAATATCAATAGCTTTCCCACAAATACTCTGTGGCGTTATTTAGACTAATTCAGTTACCGAGAATGACATACCTCCAGAGAAAGTCCCAAAACAAGGGTATCATGCAAACCCAGAATTCAAAACCTAACCTTTCCAACCAGTGTCCATTTCCCTCGGTCTCTGTGCATCACTCTCAGTAACATTAACCACAAACTCACAAGACAGATGCTATGACACCGAGTACTGAACACCATAGACCGACTTGTCAATATTGGTATATTCAGTGTTTTGCAACTCATAGCAATAATTAGACACTTTCATAGAAGAGCTTGGAAAGTAGAGGTTTGAGAATGTTTGAAAAGTTTCCACAGAGATTCTAATATG